GCTCCAGCAGAGGTGCATCATTTTTAGTTGTTTTTGAGCCTGGTAGCACTACACTATGATTAAGGTTAAGTGTAAAATAAAGTTTCTGGGACCACATTTTGCAGAATTTAGTTTCTTGCTGTGTCATGCAAAGCATATGAGTTAGATTAGCAGCTGGTTCTATGGAGATGAACGGCTTATATAGTAGGTTTTGGAGCTGGAACGTTATTAAGAGTCTTTATGGATGCCCTGTTCAGGACATTTTAAGAATGCCTAGCTGCATTAAATTTCTTCTGCCGGTTGCAAGGTTTCAGCTCTCATCTTTCTACCAAAGGAAGCAAGCTGAGAACATTTATGAGGAGAGCATCATCGTGTTACCCTTTCTCCTACTCTGGACAGTCATTGCCAGCTGCCAGCGGCTGAGCCTAGCCCACTGTTGAGAAATGCAGAAAAAGGAGCACATGATTTTAGTATCACCCCGGGCTACAGCTATACTCCTGGATAAAATAGGGCCAGGATGCAGGTACACAGGTAGGTCCTGCAGATGCCTATATTGACACACCGTTTCGCATGGTTTTGTCCTATATCAGTTAGTTCTCCCCCAGAAACTGTCCGGGCACGGATCAAGAGATAACCTGCACCGCTACCACTAAGCGGTGTGAATATGGCCGTTCTCTTTGGGGAAAGTGATTTAACCTTGTGGACAGGAGGTGCGCTGTGCCACTTGGCCTCAGAGCCAGGGGAGAGTCACTGGCCTGATTTATTTAGTAGTACACAGCAAGCCAAATTGACTCAGGGACAAACAAGCCAATGATTGTGTCTGAAGGGTCAGCCTAAGGAATGGCTTAATGGGGAGGGAATTCTTGCATTCGCTCCAAAGACGCTGCTCATCCACAAATGCTGTTGTGTTTTCTGTTTTTAAAGCGCTGATGCTTAAAAGATCTGTTTGGAAGCAAATATTTCTCCGATTTCCTTTGTTATTTCTGATGGCATGTCTGTGACTGTGGGAACTCAGGAGCACTGTGTAGGTATGCTGCAGCGGATTACTGTGCTGCTAGTAGTTTTCTTTCAGAATTACAGTACTGCAGTCGGAAATGGTTGATTACATGGGAGAGGGAGGTGCAGAGCAGTTGTTGGGTATTTAGGTAATGCCAGATGGAAGATAAGTCTGATTGCATTTGACTTAAAAGCAACCTCCTTCCCCACCTAAAATCCAAAATCCCACCCCAGAAAATATTACAACGTCCATGCGTAGTAATATTTAGTGATTTTTATAGGATCACAAATTCTCAGATGCAGCTAGTAGTTTGCCCGTTCTGAGAGAGGTGACACTTCATCTTTCACTAAGATACTTCAGGCTCGTTCTCGTACCAGATTCATTTTCAGGCCTGCTATATGAACCTGTAGCATAGGTATGCAATTAGGAGGAAAGTGTTTGCAGAAATGATAAGGAAACCTGATAAATGAAATCCGCTATATGCTGTCAGTCACACTGCTGCTGTTCCAATAAACACAAACATGTTTTTGTGTATCCTGTTTAAAGAGACAGAATAAGGTAATTTATAGCCAAAATTGACTTTCCTTGCTTGCAGTGTTTAAGTGTATATAATACTATACATACCAAAAATATGCTAAGGGAGCGTTACTGACGTAAAGTGCAGTGTTAAAAAGGCAATGCTATGGTTAGTGTCATAGTTCTAGCATTATAGTCAACAGGCTCAGGCTGTCTGTGGAGTAACTGGGCCGCTTTCTATGAATGCAGTATAAACAATCTTTATGTAATTAGGAACATTTTTAGGGTGAATGTTTGTTTTTTAGGAAGGGGGTTTGCTTTCAAGTTTCAAACGCAGTCAGATTTATATCCCATCTGTTATTATCTAAGTGAAGCCTTGTCTTCCAGAGGACATTTATCTTATAGAGTGCTCATATTGGGCAGCCTTCAGTTTAGGAGTGGATGTAAAATACTTTTCCAAGTGTTGGTCTATAATTTCTTTTTCCTTCTTTCTTTCTTTCTTTCTTTCTTTTTTTCCAGGACGCACACTATTCCAGCCTTGCTTGCAAGACAAAATTGGTCATTTCCTTGTGGGAATTGTTATTCTGTTCTTTCAGTGTAGTTTCTGAATGCTTCAGAAATGTTAATGTATCATTAGCATTTCTGAGGAGGTGATTTGGTATCTTCACTTTATAAATCAGGAATGAAGGCTGGGAGTTGAAGCACAGGTCCAAAAGAGTTTGCTAATTTGGGGGACCCAATTCGAGGACCTGATCGCTTGGACTAATGCAATCTGCATGATCAGAGCACACTTCCAGTTGATATCAGCGGCATCAGTGAGCGCTCAGCAGCTCTGCAAGCTGCACCTCTGGGTTTGAAAATGAGGGCCAAAGAAAGGAGAAATACTCACTTGGTGACCAGCTGAGCCAAGGTTTAGTGAAAAGAGCTTCCCTAGCATCACACAAGAACAGTGGAGCAGAGATGAGGATGGAGCACTTCCTTCAAGAGTGGTGTATGTTTCCTGTAATCCAGAGCGTCTTTCTTCCGATTGTACTATGCCTTTGAGTTATCAGCAACAAAAGAAGCAGAGCTCCATTAAGCAATGGTCTCCCTGGCTGCACTTCTCTGATCCCTGGAACAGATACCTTCAAACAAGTTAGAAAACAGAGCGTTTATTTACAGAGGATACACAGAGAAAACAGCCCAAACTGCCTCAGCTTTGACAGCCTGTCCTAATTTTTCCTTATTATCACATGAAATAGATTGTCTATGTATACATTAAAAATGTGCCCATATTTTATCTTAAGATAGTCATGCGAGGAGAGCATGTGAGTCAAGTATCCTCCATCAGTGTAACATCCCATCCCGTACACGTCTACTTGAAATCAGCTCATCTTTGCTCAGAGCTTCTCTTTGGTGTCAGCTCAGTGATATCGGATTTCTAAGGACAAAGATGACAGAATAGCACATAAAGACAATAAAATCAGAAATCTCAAGGCACCAAACCAGGTGAAAGTATCCAAATATGTAACAGGTGGTAAGAACTCATTCTTTATGTACCTCAGTAATTTAAAAAAAAAAAAAAAAAAGGGAGGGAGTGGAAATGTTGGATGTTGAAAGTGATTTATGAATGACTGGGAAGGCCAAAATGTCTTTGTTGGTTTGTTTGGGTCTTCCCCAGAAAAGTGAGGGGACTCGGATCCACAGATAATGTGGGGGCCTGCACTGCCACTGCTGTTGTGGGCTGCTGAGCAGGTAGACAGGGGCCTGGATGCCAGGCTGTAGAGAGAAACTCACTTGTGCACAAGAAACCTCCTGGTTGCAGATGGAAGCATGGACCATGGAGGTTTCAACAGATGGCTTCTTTTCAGGTACTTTCAGGTACTTTTTGCTAGTAGTTTAGCAGATGACCTGCAGAATGCAATAACTGAGTGTGTATAAGGTGCTGAGCTGTGAGGGGTGAGAGACGCTCAGAAAGAAAGGGCTAGAATTCAAAGCGGTCTTGATCAATCAGAGAAGTAATCATAAAAAGAATGGTTGCAGTTTGATAAGGACATGTCCTATACACCAGTCTTAGGAGTAACCAACTTCACAGGTAAAGGTTGGGAAACAACTTCCTAGGGAGCAGTTACTCAGTCTGAGAGTTGCAGTGAAACAGAAGCAGGATATGAGTCGACATTGTCATGCTGTGGTACATAGTATTCTGGGACAAATAGAGATGAACATAGCCTGCAAGATGTATTAAAAAAAAATCCTTCTTTGGCTGGAGTGCTACATAAAGTCATAGAGACTATGCCTTTGAGAAAGGTGTAAATCAACAAGAGCACCCAGGGGAGAGGAATGGGACTGAACAAATGGGCCTAGATAACATGACCTACGAGCATGGCTTGAGCGAATTGGTGTTAATTGGGGTAGATGATAGCAATGTGGTCAGTGGCTATAATAGTCTTTGATGTATAGGGGCTGCTGAGAAAAGGAAAAGAATAACCCGTTTTCTGTGTCTGTGATAGCACAGAGAATAATAGCCGTAAGTTCCAGCAAGAGAGATGGTGCTACCATGATAAGAATAGTCCAGCACTGGAATAGTTTGCCTGGGAAGGTTATTGAATCTCCATTTTTTGAGGCCTTTAAAAACATGTAGGAAAATGTTGTCTGGCAATAACATTGCTGTAGTAGATTGTGCTATGGGGCTCGAAGTCTCCTGAGGCCTCTTCCAGTCATAGATTCTGATGTTTTCAGACACGCTTCCTTTTCTGTCTTTTTTTCTCCTTTTACTCTTGGGTGGATATTGCTATTCTCTGTAAAGGGATTTCTTAGCTGGATGGGGGGATTAAAAATCATCAAAACCCTAGAGACCGTTTGGGTACAGAACTTCATGAGCTGAGTCTGGGCAGAAACTGCGGGACAGTGCTTCAGTCTAATGACATGTTTGACCGTCTACTGAACCTGTAGGAGTCACAAGCCAGAACCTCTTACCTGAGCTAAACTCTATGAGAGTGTTCCTTATAAACAGGGTAAGGACTGGGACTTGCTCTCTAATCAACATATTTTCTGAAGACTTTTAAAATGCATGTAACAGTCTGACGTACCAGCTGTCACCAGAAATCGTGTCCCCCACCGACACCCGTGTGCAGTGCGTTGGCACTCATGTCACGCAGGGAGGGAGTGTTGACAGGTCCTACTGCTCGTCACCTTAGAAAGGGAGAAAAGAAGCCAGGGTTCAGCAAAGGAGTACTGGCAATCACAGGACAACATCAGAGCCTGCAGAACCAGAACCGCCTGAGAAAGGAGTTGCTAGATTGACCTGGGGCTTTTAGAAGAACCAGCCAAAGAAGAAATGCAGGCAGTAAAAGAGAAATTTCATGCAGCCCCATCCATGTTTAACTGGGGGTCCAGGACTGGTTGTAACTCTCCTCGCCATGGGGCAGCAATATAACGCTATTCATGGCGGATCTTTCAGAGATCCAAAGTCTAGAGCAGTTTGAGTTGTGCTTGTGTTGAAACTGAATCATGTTTCATTTTGACTTAGAAGCCAAACCTGATTTCGAAGCCAATGCTCGACAGCATCCTTTGTCTTCGTGATGACAGATGGAAGTACGTCCGGAGCCTGCTGACCCCAGCCTTCAGCGATACCAAACTGAGAGAGGTAAGGTGTAGTCAGTGTTGCTGTCCTATTTACAGGAGATAATTGTTTTCTTTTGCATAAGCATCTATCTTATGTAGCTGCACATTAAGGGTACGTAAAAAAAACTGCTACTTTGTGCCAGTTTATTTAGATCTTAATAGCACGTGCAGAAGAGTGTGCCTGCAGTGTGGTCCAGGTTGTGGATTAGTCTAACTCAAGAGAGGAGGATTTGAGGATACAGGTTTTGATCCTATATCTTTCTCCATATAAGTCGGCTTGCCTATAAAGGTACAGTAAACTCAAAAAAGAGCTTCCCCCAGCCCCCCACTTTTAGGAGTAAGCTAAAGTACAGGAAAGGTTATTGCTCCCCATTGGAACGTAGCTTTTCATTATTTGCAGAGTCAGCAGCTCTCATGTTAACACAGGAACTGCTGTCAGTCTATTTTCATTTCTCCATCTCCTTCCCCCCGCCTTCTTTTATACTTTAATCCTTTCATATAATAAAATAAGTCACTGGAACAGAATGTCATTGCCAGATAAATACCTCTGACTGAAAATAAATGTCTCTGTGCTGACCTGCTGCTAATTTTCTATAAATGTCTCAGCATTTACTTAGCCATGGGAACCCATTACCCTGTAACAAAGTTCTATTCCAGTGACACGATGTCTCTTAATTAAAGGCAGAATAATGATTGACTGATTAAACTCTGCTTTCAGGGGGTGGGGGTGGGGGGGAAAAATAATCTCCCTATATGAATTTTATTCTGAAAAGGAAACATTCCTCACTGTAGTGCCCAGTCCTCGGTTGTAAAATTTTCCACTGGGCAGACGCTTGCGTTGTTTTGACATGCCACTGTCGAAATCCACAGTAACATCTAAATGTGTCTGGCTCTTTTAGCTCTATAGACAGCAGTTGCCTAGCAACACCAGCTGTCACCTCCTTATTATGGTAAATTCTAATTGGCCATAAGCCTGGCAAAGATCGCTGATTAATCAGAACTGACAATATCATTGGTTATGCGCCTAGACATTTACTCTGTCACTGGCTTGATCGTGAAATTTTATAGACGCTAGGGTTGCTGGTTTTTTTTTTTTTTTTAATATTCAAACGATTGCTCACTAATGGTGTGGCGGGAGAGGAGACTTTTGCATTTTCTTAGCTAAAATTAATCTGTCTTACTGCAGGTCATCAGCATAGTGCAGCTCAAGGCTTTGGCTTTTGGCTATTAAACTAACAAAAGATAAAGCCACTCTCCCCTCAATTTGTGCAGAGCAACCTCTGCCGGCACCAGTCAGGCATACTTTACGAAGGAGAGAAGTCGGAGGTCTTGGCTATTGTGCTTTATGCAGTTTAATTAATTAAACTAGGGCGGGACGATAATTCGCGTTGTTGCATTTTATGCTGCTTGGTGGTGGAGCTGCAATGCAGGAGGAGATTACTGGTAGAGGGGTGCGCTGGCTAGTGCTGGCCAGCTTACATGGGAAAACCGCACTGTGTATTTTTAGCCTGATAATCAGCTTTTCCTCTGCTGCCCGTCCGAAACTCAGTGGAAGGGGTAGAATTGTTGATAGGCCCTTAAGTTTCCAGGAGATGGTCACTTTCTCCTCCTTGTCTACAGAAAGAGAGGAAGGGAGGAGGGGGAAGGTCTTTTTATCAGGCCCAACTTTGTTCCCGTTTCACACGTCACCAGAAGACCATTCATCCCTACACAGAGGAACGTTATCTCTTGCTTACAGAATCCCCACAAGTAACTGTAATGTGTTGCGTCAGCGACCTCATTCCTATCTGGTCTGTACCTACTGCATCTGTGCTTTCCCCTTTCCAGCAGATGATGATACGTTAGTGAACTGCGCTTTCCTGGGAGATCTGTTCTTGACTCTTTGCAATGAGTCCATGTGAAATTCAGAACCTCTTCTGAATGGATGCGCTCCTCAACCTTGCATGTAATTTTAAACCCAAAGAGATGAACAGTACTGGGACTTGAAGTCAACGCAATTTAACTCCTCACTCACATGCTGTTCTTGCTATTGCTTAATTTAGAAGCTGTATCAACACTTTTCAAAGGAAATCAATGCTCATTAATTATGATCCCACTTTTTAATTCCCCCATATTTAGTACTCTTTCAGAACCTCTACAGTAGTGTGGAAATGAAAATACTAGGTTCTAGGATTGGTCATACTACAGAGTACTCAAGAGTTAAGTAGAAAAGATCATGTTTATAATCTCTTCCTCTCCACCCCAAAGGAATAACAAATAAGTTTCTTTTAGTGTGGAATTTGTCGTATAAGAGCATGGAACAATTTTGTTATATATCTTTATAAACACTTGCTAGGCACATTCCTCGTTCCTTTGCCAAAGAGATCTGAGCTCTGAAAAAAATCCCTGTGTCCTTTCTGTTCATCCTGGATGTCTACCTTGACTTTGTTTCCCTGTGCAAACTCTCCAGCATCGCTGGAGAGACTGCAGGAATCCCTGCAGTGGCTGTGGGGAATCACCTCCCTGAACACTGTGGACTCTAACTCCACCCTGAACATAGACATGTCTAACTGAGTACTCTGAAAGAATTTGGGAATTATTAGCCTGCAGCAGGGCAATAAATGTTAACAACTCCTTATGCTCCCCACAGCAAACACTTCAGATAAAAGATGCCCAGAGGGCCACCGATTTGGGTCCAGATTCCTGGTATCTCCATTTCAGAAATACAAGAATCCGCTAGCGGACTAAAAGACAACTTCAAAACTAGCAGTAACAAGGAACTTGTCATCTGCTCTTTGGGCTGGTTGCTGGAGGACAAAACACAAAGCAGAGCTAAGGAATTATGCTAGGGCTTGACCTGTAATACCCCGCTGCAGTATCTGGCCCCTGTGGCTGTGAGTAGATGTGCACTTTGCTCGTGTCTCTCCATGGTAGCTGTGTAGTGTCATGGAGAAGTTCACTAAGCTTGAGGAATTTCACCTCAGCTTGGCAAAAATCTCCAACAGCCAGTCACCAAATGAGGAAAAGTTGATCCCAGAGCACTTGCAAAGTTATGAGCAATTAACTAAAACCAGAGGGTTACAGCACTGTCAGGAGCCATTGTAGGGATTGCTGCCTATACTCAGCGAATTGGTTTGCTAACATTTTCCAAAAATTGTCTAGCATCTTCTGCAGCTTTTGCTGTCTCCTCAATTCCTTACCTTAAAAGTTGTGCAGTTTCACTGTTGCTTTTATGGAGTTCTGTATGCTGTGTGTTCTCCCTTCTCAATTTTCTTTTTCTAATGAGTATGAAAAGGTTAGTAAAGGAGTTCACTCCAACTGAAGGCAAGTTTGACTGTGGATAGCATTCAACTCAAATACTATAATGATGAGCACGGTGTAAATCAATATATTTTTTTAGTCTTGGTCCTGCAGAAAGATCTGCTAGTGTCCCACATGAGATCTCGCTGGAGTTGATAGAAGATCTGATGATAAGCTCTCAAGCCATGCCTTACTCTTTCTGGAGAGTATTCTTTTCAGTGAGACCCCTGAGTAGACCCCCTGGTGCCGTTGCTGTAGGAGTCCTAATAATATGAAATTGGAAACAGGAGAACCAAATTTCGCTTCCACATGGACTGTGTATGATTTGATAGAAGCTACTTAAATTCATTGTGCTTCAGCTTCTTTTATCTGCAACATGGGAATATTACCAATCACCAAAAGTTGATCCAAGGTGTAATTCATGAGGAATTCATGAAGTCAAATAGTTAGGGGTCCTTAAGTAAAAGACGCAGTTCGCAGTGCTTCTGTAATGCTCTCCACAGCTGTTGTGTAATGAAGCAAGCAAATATGTTAGTGATCTTGCTGTACTGCTCTTGATTCCCTGTTAGTATTTCTTATTTTGCTTTTCTTCTCTTTGCTGTGGTATCTGTGATGATCCTGCAGTTCTAGACCCCTTGTCAGGCTTGATAAATAGTTTTGCTCTCTTTTACAGCCAACACCAGCAGAAAACCTATTGATTTTTATTTATTCTGATGGTGCTGCAATACTCTTGTCATCTCCTATCAGTGTGCCCAGAACCCTCTCCTCCATTACCAACTATTAGAAAAAAACAGAAGACAAAAATTAAAGAAGAGAATGCAGTGTAATGTAGCATTGTCCTAAATAACCTGTGAAATAGAGCTTGTGTTGAGGCATTTTCTTTTGTGCCAAGGGATGCACAAAGCAGAACTTGTGATAACATCACAGAACAGTGCAAGAAACTCCTGTAGTGTCCGTCTCAGACATGTGGATGCTCCAGATCCCACCAGAACATAGGATCTGATGTGCAACTGTTGAGGTTTCCTTGATTTGCTCTTACTCTACTCTTGAACACTGGTCCGAGTCATTTTGGAAGAGTCTCTTGAAATTGCTGCTGTTACTCAGCAAAGTGAACATACTGACCTGAAACAAGGCAAATCACTAACTTAAAAGCAGGTGTGTGAAATGTGGATGTCCTTGAGCCACAAGTCAGCATCTGGCTGAGTTGCTCACTCTGGTAAGCTGTGCCAGTGAATAGTGAGGTGATGGAAACGGGTCCTCTCACAAACAACTTCCCGTTGCTCCTCTGCTTTTCTGCTTTTAATCAAGGATTTGAAATTTGGCATAGAAGTGGTTCTGGTGTTGCGGTTGTATCTTTTTTCCTTCTCCTTCCTTTTTATTTTATAGCGTTCGTGGAACAAGATGTTTCAGCCCCACAGGATCTCTGTGTACTATATGTTAACAGTAAATTCTCCAGGGTGTCTGGCTAGTTTTTCAGGCTAGTATGGAGACGGACAGAAAGGTTGCCTCTGTCTTGCTCTTGGTGCCCCGTGCAGGAATTGAAGACGGTTCAATCCAGTTTAACCTATGTTCACCTATCCTTGTCCCAATAAGGGAAGGTTTATCTCTTCGAGTTTCAAGAGTCTTCATGGCGGGGAGAGAGAATGAGTAGCAAGATATGCCCATAGAATAAAAGATAGGTGACACTAGCATGCAGGCCAGCCCACAGAGGATCTCTTGATGTCCTCGTTGACATGTGCATCATTTAAATAACGTCCTGCTTGTCTCTGATCACACGTCTCTATTGTAGTTAGGTTTCAGGAGAGAAGAACAAGGAAGAAATTGAACAACTTCAGTTTGGAAAGGGAATAGAGAGAGATTATTTGAGAAGGGAAGTTTAGGAAAACTGACAATTGTTTTTCTTTTTTTTAGTGCTAAGGCATGGAGCTGCATCTCCTTGAATACCTTGGCTGTGCATTGAGAGCTACTTTGGATGTGACCTTTTGTAGGAGGGATTGTGAATATCTACTTTACGGTTTGGGTGCTAATTATAAAGCAAATAATAATAGTAAATACTGAGGACTGCATCTAACTAGAGGAACACGACTCTGATACCTTTGAACAGTGCAAACATCCCTATGCACTATGCATACGCAGAATCAGAAACTAATTGTTGTTATGTGCCAAATAGCATATTGGCAGGATTTATGCAGCAAAGCCCCTGGCATCAAGAAAACCCTAACCCCAAATGCTCCTCTTTGGCAGAAAGAAAGAAATTTGGACTCTGGGCTACCCTTGCTATTAGATAACTGGCAAATCAAATATTTACAAGGACCATATTGTTTAGATTTTTCTTCATTCTGTTACTCGCAGCCAATCTGAATGCAAAGCAGCTGGGGTTTGTTTACCCAAGAACTCCATCTCAGGCAGGTTATGCAGCTTGTATTTTCTGCCTGGCAAATGGCAATGTATAGGAAGTTAGTGGTAGTCAAGGCAGTGCAGATCACAGTGTCTATTACTGGGCCAGTTTTCAAAGTTTGGTATACTTCCCTTCCCCCAATGCTACTTTATTTTTCTTAGCAATTGAACAAAGAGTTTAAAGTGTTAAGGGAGTCAAGAATGTTTCACTCTGTGCTCTTTGTAGTTAGCAATCTTGGAGTAATTTATGTCCCCCGAGGGGGAAAAAAAAACAAACCCAAGCCCAGGATTCCTAAGTAGATATCCCCTGTAGTTTTCATATGCAAATAATTGTCTCATTGATATGGCTCTATCCTCTAATGCTAGCAATAAATCAAATCCTTGTGCCCCCCTCCGCATTTTCCTGGTGAGGTTTGCTGATGAAAATATCTTATGGCTAGAAATGAACTGCAACAGTATTTTGAAAGGCTGGAATGTGGAAAGTTCAGAGGTGTTGTGAGATGCTCTGGCCAGTGTACATGCCCCTGCCATCTCTGCCAGCTGTTGGAAAGCAATAGCAACCAGCTGGGCGGTTGCAGGTCTGATGATGTGATGAAGAATAAAAGAGAAAGTAAGGCAATAAAAGGAAAATCTAAAATGATTACCATCTGTTTAGAAAGCATCATACCTGTTAAAATATGGATTTTCATTTTGTTCTCCTTGACTGATTCAGTTCATTGGAGGGGCTGGACCCAGAGATTAAAAAATATTTCACCCTGGCTCAATTTGTTCTGCAGAAATGTGTTAATTTTGTTGAACCATTTGAGAAGAAGCTCACTGCGAGAGACCTTCTTTAGAAAGCCAAAAGGGGAAGAAAACTGCCGCATACCGTGGTGCGCACCTCCCAAACACCCACTAGCTACTTTTACAGAGTACTAATCCAGCTTCAAAACTGTCTTGTGGAACTCCTGTGGCGAAGTCCAAATCAATTCAGCTTTGACCTGAAGTAGAGCCACCTTACTCTGTCCCGTATAGGTATGGCTGCTCACAAGCAGCGAGACACATTCTTGACTTGAGCTCCTGCCTTTGGAAAGCACGTTGGCTGCTCCTCCGGTGCCCTTTTAGACTGTACGTAGTCTTGCCCATGTGTTGGGATGGCAGCGTGCCTGTGCACAAAGTGTTATGCCAGCTTCACAGGGGTAGAAGTGCCAAGCAAAATGGACTTGGCTGGGCAGCCCGCGTAGCTCTCCTGGTGCCCGCGTAGCTCTCCTGGCGCTGAGAGGATGCAGTGAGTGTTTTTTGGTAACAAGACTGTTGAAGTAGTAGCACGAGTCTGTTGGCTCTTCTTGTGTTTGTGGACATCCATATACTGGAGATTTTCAGGAAGGAAAGGCAGGCTTCTGTCTGTCTGTCTGCTGGTGCTGCGCATAATTGTTGAGGAAAGACTGTGGTATCAGACTGTAGGTGATACAGATCTCTCGGCAGTCTCTGGGGGAGAGAGCTATAGCAAAAAGTGCCATTAGGGTGGTAGCTGCCTTGCTGCTTTGCCGCAGGTCAAAGCAGCGCTCAGCCTGTCTCCTGCCCTCTGCCAGAAGGTGCAGTCAAGGCAAGTGTCTGATGCCTGTCGTGTGTAAAGAGCCACAGAAAGAGACTTTAATGAGGCCTTGATTGTCACCTAGGCCTTGGTTTGTGTAAAGCACTGAAGAGGAGATTATTTGACTGTTAGCTGCAGCCAGGCCATGCGTAGGCCTACCTGACCATCATGTGGTCAGTGACTGGGAAGAACCATTGGCTGAATAAATTCACATGAATGTCCACGTAATGGCGATTGCCAATCCAGGCAACCCTTTCCTCAGGTAGGAATAGCTGTTCCCTGAGCACACTGCAGTGATATATACGGTGCTTTTCTAATGTCTATCTCAAATCCTGCGAGCTGAGGGGCAGCAGGATGGCAATACTGGTCCTCTGATGCTAATACCTTTTCAATATTTTGAGAGTGAAGATAATATTTTTACCCCTACCCTGGAGTGTAAATGTAGTCTAAATGTAAAGTACGGTAAATGTGTATCCTGATAAATGATCCTCTGGAATAGGGAATGATTAAAAGCAGGGGGATGTCTTTGCTTGGTAGCTTTCTGTGAGTGTAGCCACAAGTAGGCATGAACCAAAGGTCAGCTGAGGAGCTGAGTGTCTTGCATTTAGTCTGTGTAGTAGCTTACTGGAGAACTGGCATCCCTGTAAGGAGACACGAGAGCTAAGCTGCCTGAGCTTGTTTTTTTTTTTTTTTAGCAGACAAGTCCAACATTTCATCTTACCTGCACGAAGCTGTGTGAGCACACCTACGGAGTATCCTGAGAGCTTTGTCCCGTCTACTGTCTAGAACTAATTTAGAAAAACTGATTTTTAACATTTTAACAATAGAATGTGTGTTCCTTTCCAGATGATACCGCTAATAAACCAGGCCTGTGATGTCCTGCTGAGTAACTTGAAAGTCTACGCAGATTCTGGCAAAGCTTTTGATATCCAGAGGTACGTTTAACATACCAAAAATTAGTAACAGATTTTTTTTTAAAAAAAAAAAAAGTCAGTAGCAGCAGTTATTCTAAATATGCACTTACTTTATAAAAGGAGTTTTTCTCCTCCTTGCTTTTATAAGAGGAGATCATAGTTTAATAGAGGATGTATCCAATAGATGCTTTTTCTTCCTGGGGTTAGCCATTGCATACTTGAAAAGTAATTTTGGGACAGCATCTAATGCGTTTTGAGCTGTTGATAATGACCTATTAACAACTGGAAGCAGAAAGGAAAGCAGCATCAGTCCGTGTCCAGTCTGTTCTCGACATTCTGCCAATAATGTACAAATATAGAAATTGATCTAGTATCAAATCCCTCTAGTCTATCACCCACTTACTTTTTTATATGAGGTTTTTTGAGCACTTAATCATTCTTACCACATTCCTCATAACCCCCTCTAATGGCATGCTCACCTTTTGTGAGACGACGCGATTGATACTCCGGATGAGAGTGCACCATTGTTTTATAAAATGACACTTTAATATTTTCTGTACAATCCTTTCTTCCATTTATTATGCATTTAATATCCTATTATCTTTTTTTGTTGCTCTTTCAGCAGAGGTCTTCACTGAGCTGATCACTGTACTGTCTAATCCCTTCTCTGAGCAGATGTGCGTCTTTTGGGAGCTTGTAAAAGGCACGAATAGTTTAGATGTATTCTTTCTATAGGCGTTAGTTTAAATATACTTTATTTGCTACATTGATTAGGGCCCTCTGAAGTTCCTCATGATTTTCTCCAAACTGGAGCGACCCAAGTAATTTTGTTTCATCTAAAGAAGTAGTTATTCATCCAGAATTAATCCATCTCTTTTCCAGTATGTGTATATGCATGCATGCAATTTTGTGTGTACACAAAGATCCCTCTGTATTAAACATCTGAGGAGATGGTGTGAAACCCTGAAATATCTTGCTGTGAGGCTAGTGCTCTGATGAAAATTGGCCTTTTGAATCCTTCTGGGTTTTTCCCTTTTTTCCCTTTGTCTTTATTCTCTCCATCTGGTCTTTCAGCCAGCTATTGATCCACAATAAGGTTTTGCCTCTCAAGAGGCACTTTGGAAAAGACTTTTTGAAAGTCTAAATAAATGACATTGACCATCTCATAATGGAATCTCATCTTCCAGTTGTTTTATCATGCTGCCATTTCAGCCAGTTTGGCATATATAAATATGATGCTCGCTGCACTGCAGTTTCCCAGAATTGCCCTGGGAGCTATTTTTTGGACACAGATACTCTGACTGCAATAGATACTGAGTATCTATGCTCTGACTGCATAGATACTCTGACTATTTTGGACATAGATACTCTGACAAGTCTTCTTGTCTGGTTGTCTTTAGGCCTTACATATTTTGCCGTCAACTCGAAATTTAGTATTTAAATTTTTTCAGAACTCTTGGAGGTAAATGATTGAGTGCTTATAAAATTATCATTTTATTGCATTGCCCCTCTTTTAGCATGTCAGTCCCCAATAATACCTTTTTTTGGTGTAAGAGTTGAAAACCCAAAGAAGTTTTCTAGCTTTGCAGTGTTGTCCGTATCTTACAGGTCTACTTTGGTGTTCATCAGAATGACAGTGGCTCAAGAATGACTGAGAAATGCTACTTGATAGTATATGTACTATTGGGTCTGAGTCCTGTCATTCTCTCGTGCTTACTCAGGCTAAAACACTAGAGAATTTGCTATTAGCCTCTCATAAAGGGGCATCAAAAAAAAGTTGTTGCAGCCTTGACCACAGATCAGAAGAACTAAATTTCAAAGATATTCCACATTCTCAATTCACTATCACAAAACTAAATAGAGCTGCTAATGCTTAGTAGAAGGAAAGAGCATGAGGTGACTGGATAGACGGTCAGATACCTGGGGAGAGATTCAGTCACTTTGGAAGTTTCTAAATCATGATCCACAGATCATTGGTTGTTCCCAAAGCATTTGCTGCTGATTTGTGAGATATGGATTTCAAATGGTGTCTGTTCCTCTTGTTTATGACCAAGATTTTACATTGCAAAGAAGCTATCAAGTACAATAAGCCTGTTCCTAAAAGGCAATTTTATGTAAACAAGTCCTGTCAATGAGAGTTTAGATTGGAGATCAATTGGAGATTGGAGTGGTTTCTGCAGTTTTAAATGAGAGAGGAATGCTCAGTCTATTAAGATGCCTACTAAGAAAATGCTTATGAATCTCTAACCTTGTTGCATTTGATTTCTAGATGATAAGCTTGTTTTCTTTTTAATATAATTTTCAGTAGAATTTTTGAGCTGTATGAAAATATGTTCATCTTGATTACAGAGAGAGAAGAGGTATTTATTATCAAGCACCATCATTTATCACAATGATGGAAACACCTCCTGTTGGCAAAGCTCAACTCTAAAAGCAAAAAAAAAAAAATCACATTGTTATGTGGTGGTCGTAGAAGCAAGGTACTCATGGATATGCAAGTTATGGTTAATAAGTTATCATTCTTAACTCAACGCAGGTGTTACAAGTGCTTTACCTTGGATGTTGTTGGTAGCGTGGCTTTTGGTACTCAAGTGGACTCACAGAAGAATCCTGATGATCCCTTTGTTAAGAATTGCAGAACATTCTTTGAAATGTCTTTGTTTAAACCTCTCCTAATTCTAATCCGTAAGTATAGTTTGCCTTTGCTACTTATTTATAGTAGCTTTCTAAAAGTCGTTCTCAAGTTGCAAAACATCCTGCAGCAGGAGCAGGAAGGTGTATTGCAGGCTTTATTTCAGAGGTATTTAGAATGTAACGCACAGGCCAAATATACCCTTTGGATTTCCGTGATATGCTCTGCCTGTCATCTTTACTGCAATTTCCTCCAGGAGCTATGAGTCCTAGGAGGCAGTGCTCCAGCTTTAGCTGGGTGGAAGGTTTTGGGGACCTCTAGTCTCTGTGGGGTATAGGCTTCTGTATTAAAACTGAGTAACTGCAATCTAATCCATGTTTTGTAAATTGAGTACAGGCCTTCGGAGCCTGAGTGCAAAGTTTTTGTGCCCTCGGTTTACTTGGTAGAAATCGAAATCCCACCCACAAACAGAAGAGGGCTGATAACCAGAAGAGAGGTAGAGGAGCATAAGCAGATAGCATAAGCCCTCCAAATTCTTATTTAAATAGCAACAGCAGTTGCTTGACTGATATCTTAAAGGATAAAGATGGTAAGTGCCAACACAGGCTGTCAGTAAGAGAAAGCATTTATTTTCAGGTGGAGACATAGGGAATAAGAGAATAGGATACAAAGCCATGTAGTTCTAGGTTGTGGATCCTGCTCCAGTCACTCCTAAGGCTTTGTGCGGGCAAGGGCCGTGTTAGCCTGAGGGCAGTTAGGAGTCGTGGCTGGGGAAGATGCAGCATAATCAGGGTTGATGCACTTTTACCATGTTGCTATCTAGACCAACTCGCAGTAGTGTCAGGTGGCGCAGTGGCAAAGTTCCTGTGCCCATCTGATCCTGCTGGCGCTGCAGATTGCACCTGTGCTAGCAGCACACAAACTGTGTCCTTCTGGAGCCGTGTATCTAAAATGTCCTGCGGTTAATGTCTAACCTGATTGCAAAGTGAGATTTGTCACTAATTTCTGAAATTGGCTTCTCATGTGAGTAGATCAAGTCCTTCCTTAAAGAAAAGTTCTGTAGGGTTCGGGGTTGGGTTGCCTGAAAGTGGTTGATCCCATTTTGCTGGTACGTTACATGGTCTGAATTTCAACAGCGTGTTGCCCTGTTGGCAGCACAGGGGTTCTCTGATGACTAACTGATTCGTTAGTCTTAAGCTGTTTATGAGTTACCTATGGATTTATTAAGATGCAAGACTTCACTCAGGTTTCTAGTTCCTGACTATAAATGCCATAAAACTGGCGACTGCAAAAGCTATAAAACTGGTGACCACCCCTGTGGTAATATCCCACCTCCAGAGTCTTTTCTTTGGTCTGTTTAGAGAAGGAAAGTAAAATAGTAAATCAATATCCTAATACTGAAGAACTGTAAATGGAAATCAGATGACCATTACCAGTTTCATGGATCAATGCCATAACCTGCTAGGCTAGGTCAAGATTTTTTTCTGCCCTTCTGCATTTGAGTAGGCAGGGAAAAAATTCTCCCCTTATTGTGGTGGCTCTATGGCATCAAGATGGAAAATTGAAATTCTGTACCATTATGGTAGGGTTGCAAATCAGGGCAAAGCTTGGAAGGCATCTGTCCTGCCAGGAAGTCCCAGCCAAAATGGAATTTCTAAAAGCAAATCCTTTACCAGCCTGTATGGCAAGGAGAAAAAAGGGAATGAGATAGAGAAAGAGGAAAAAAATACATTAAAAATAGGTTATATGCTTTTACACCCTGCTTCAATGTTTTCTTCTTTAAAATCTCTTATAGTTTCTTTCCCATTCATAATGATCCCATTGCTCCGGATTTTGCCAAACAAGAAACAAAAGGAACTGAATGAATTTTTTATCCAAACCATAAAGAATGCAATTATCTTCAGAGACCAGCAAGATGCAGCTGAGGTAAGGCCATTTCTGTGATAAACATAAGGATAAGCAAATGTTTTGAGGAAAAACTGGAAGTGGCATGAGCCTCAGTTGAAAAAGCGAAATCAGTCTGTTTGAACATTCAAAGAAATTTAGTGAAGATTTTATTCATTTTTAGCTCTATGTACCATCGACCGTGCTTGGCATTGATGTGGAACTGCTAACACATTACAAGAAAGACAGCTTCTCTTTGTATTTCTGTTCAAATGAAGATGCGTAAAGTGTCACATTTCTTGACTTCCCAATCCAGTTTCTAGACCCAAAAGGAAGGATTCATCTTGTAGATTTTTTTTCTCATCTTAAAGTTAGGAGTTTTGTCAATGTAAGTTTTCCTTAAAGGCAAGAGAGAGGAGAGCCCCCACAGAGTGATTTGTCCCAGTCGTTAATTAGGTGCTCTTAGGTTTTATATAGTCCTGTGACAATTAGTACTACTTTTGAAAATGGAAAGAGAGAACCTGAATCTCTGGTTAAGAACAGTCACATGGTATTGACATGGCTAAAGGTACAAGAAGTAAATTCTACCCACCCAAAGTGGGCAATACAGTGGGTACATAGTAGTAGCAAATCAAGGACCATTGCCCATTTGTTTCTCCTTCATCTGGATATCAGGCAGTTCTGATCTGTTGTTTTACTTGCAGCTGTTCTATGCAATGTCTGAGGACGCAGGCATTTTTATAAAGGTGTCTCTGTTTTTGGTATATGAAGTGTTTGGAGTATGGGCATGCACTTCAGTCCTGTGCTACAAAAAGTTCTTCAGGTCTAATTGCGCTTTTGGACCGTGTTTTGCTGCAGACTGTATGTAATAGCCCTAAAAATAAGTTAACCACTTAATTAGGAGTGTGTAGCCAGAAATAATGAATATCAACTTGAATTCCATTTTTAAAGGTAACTGAGACCTGTTTTGCAGATCATTTGACATAAAATATGCCATAACATGCACATTAAGCAGCTGTTGATATTGAAATATAGATGTTTCTTACCACTTTGAGATGAACAGCCATTCTGATGGTGTAACAACAGAAGTGAGAATGGATCCTCGCAACAACTTTTTCTGACAGCTTAGCCTCACAGCTGTCACCTTTCAGCAAAAAAGCAGATTTTAGTTTATTCTACCTTATATCTAGGGCACATATAAAAAACAAATTGATTTTTAAAGATACTGTTTCTCTCTTTTACATGTTTTGCCCTTTCTTCTTTGACACTCTCTCTGCAGTTCAGTCTCACTTCTCTATTTGTTGCACTTTATCTCTCCATGCTCTCTGTCTTTCCTCCAACCCATCTTTATGTGTCTTTGCTATTAGCTTTTAGGTCTTTTTCTTCCTCCTTTACATCCAGACTTTTATAAGCACCACTGACTGGCCATATGCAAATTCATGAATCAGAAAACACGGTTCCCGGTCAAGGTCGAGTGCTGAAAAAATATTTGCTAACAGAGATGTTGTATCTAAGTTGCTTGCAGACACTTCATTTCTAGTGCACAGATCCAGTGTGAACTTTTAATTGCATCCTGATGTGATTGTATATATGGAGAGGGTTTGATCCAAGATTTATGCTAAATGGGCCTGCATTAAAAGTATATTTGCTCTCTGTATTAATTTTAAAAGAGTAAAAGGATCGGTAAAACAACCTGATGTGAATTAATGGTAGTTATGCAATGTGTTTGTATGGCAGTAGCACTAAGGGCAACACTCGTGGGCTAAATCCTTTGCTATACTAGATGGGCACCCTCTCAAACTGCATTCTAGCTTAAAGGATGTACGGTTGGGGAAAACACAAAGAAAACACAAAGATTGTGCCGACGGGAGCTGTAGGCAGCGTTCTCTGTCTCCAGCTTTGAGCAGATGACTTAGCAAAGGGATTTCAGATTGTGTTGGAGCAATGCTGGGAGGTGCTCGAAGAGATAACCCGGAGCAGGAGCTCCCCAGTGTCAGGCCAGTGCAGAGGAAAGTACAAGGTCCGTGTTTGCCTACCAGTGTACGCGCAGGCCGTGGCAGGCTGCAGTCCCGTCTGCTCCTGTACTTGTGCTTAGGTTGCCAAATTGTCCTATGGGAACTATTTCAAATACTGGGAGTCAGACACTTAAGACCAGATTTCTCAGGGTATATTAAGTCCTTTTGCAGTTCAGGATCCTTAGCAAGGCTTTCAAAAGTGGCTGGAAAGGGTGGAGCTTTCAGTTTTTCCTCCTCACTGCCTGCCTCGTTAGCCACTCGTAGATTTTTGACTTTTTTATGGTGGTGGCAAACAAGTTTTGTTACAAATATAGGTAACTTACTAATTTGCCAGGAATGGAGAAAATGATATGTGGAGTGGATCCAAATACAGCTTCTGTCCAATTTAATGCAGAACTGTAATCTGTAGGGACGGAGTGTGCTGGATAACCCTGCAGTTGAAGGAAAATGGTGTCCTGCGTCCTAGGTCTAATATGATGAAATGTATCCACTGAAGTCAGTGGGAGCTTTGGCACTGAATTTTATTGAGGCCATGCTATCACCAGTAGCCGCTGGTTCTTTGCGCTAATAATGGGAGTTGTAAACAAAGTCCTATGGGCTCCCTGTGCTGCATTAGGCCAGCAGGTACCCCTTAGATTGTCGCGTTCCTAGATGTTATGTGGTGCACATCTTTCACTCTTCACTGCTGTTATCACCATTAAAAATGTTTTGTTTTTTGGGAGGAGACAGGGGGAGGAAAAAAAGCATTTGGAACAAACTGTAAAACAGTGAAAATCCTTGTGAAAGTGATTCAGCTGAAGCTCGCCTTCCTCTCATCTGCAGCTAGTGTGCACTAAGAATAAAGAAAGGCCAAAAAAAAAAAAAAAAAAAGGCAAAGTCAGCCTGTTATCATCACTGTTCTATCAGTAAATGAAACAATGCTTCTGAATGCCTAAAGATAATCCCACGGGCAGATAGTAATTTTACAGCCAGGTTTGGATCTAATAATATGCTTGCAGCTCATATGAGATCTGTGATGTCACTTTCTCTCATCCCGCCGGTTAGTGCTGCAGATGTCATTTTAATTATGTATTATCTTTCTGTGGTCACTCAAATAATTTCAGTCCTGGATAGTCTACTCATTTGGCATATGTACAAAAACATTTAGTGGTTGTACTTTAGAAATGTTAATATGTTACATTTATTCATGGATTCGAATTATTGTAAAATGCTTTTCCCAGTATTTACAGAAGAGCAAAGTCACCCCTGCTCAGAAGAAATAGCACAACTTTAATGCACCGCTTAACCCCTACCTTGAAGACTCCAGTACAGTTTAGGTGTTCGAACACCTTATCCTGATCATCTGCCCAGGTTTAAATTTTTCCCTTAAGGCAAAATGTCTCCCGAAACAGACTGTTTATTTCAGTACATGATAGTTTGATAGATTTTCATTTAATAATCTGATATGCAAATCATTATTCACGTAACGTTTTGTCAAGTTATAGTTCTTGGGTGTACTTCAGGTACTTACCGATCTGTTTTAAATGGGTGATATCTAGATGAAATCATCTTTTGTGTTGCTCAAAGCTGAGACTCCTTTTTAAAATTATGTGGGATAAAACAGAGTCCCCTTGGCATAAGAAAAGCCAGAATCTCATTTGTAATGTGTGGTAGTAACAACAATCGGGATGTAACATTTTAAGGATATTGCAAAACAGTAACTAATTTTTGAATATCATGACAGATATGTCAGAAAGGTCCACAGTTTTCTAAGTATATGCCCTTTTATAATGAGAATTACAGAGTTCATAGAGGCAATGCATTCTACTGGCATCTCCTGATTTTTCTAGTCGCACTGTCTGCTATGAATGCATAATTCAAGGTCATCGATCCGTGCCAGGGAGGTAGCGACCTGGTGATGTTCCTGATGATGATCAGCTGTTTCTTGGTGGTCCCAAGCCAATTTGAAATGAGAGGATGATAAATCCCGGAGAAGTATCACCAGCAGTATATTCACTGGCATCTCAGTTGGCAATTGCATCAGTGGCTAAAGACCTGGAGAGAGACTACCTGGATGCTTTTGTTGTAACTCCAGAGGAGGCAGAGTGGGAAAAGAGTGGGGAGGCTGCGCTGCTGTTAACCACGCTGCCCCTGGGCCACATGGCACAGAGCCGCGAGGAGGATGCGTGCTGCTGTGTGGTGATGCTGGTGATGGCAAGGCCTCCCGTAAATTGTTATGGCCCTAGGACGCTACTGCTAGCCCCCAAGGGGCTGTCCTCTGGTGAAGGAATTGCCAGTGAACAAATGCAACCCATCCATTTTTCCCCGCTTCCCTTCCTCATCCTCGTTCTGTACAGATCCCTTCACTGGTCCCCAGTAGCTACTACAACTGGCCCTGCTGTCTCCATGCTGCCCACAAAGCCCAGGCAGGCATGAGGAATTCCTGGTGGGTGGACATCTATTGGTTTTCCATCACCAGCTCTGGGCATAGCAGGAAAAACCTACAAAGAGCTAGTGGGGCAGGAACCACAATTTTGAGGAAATCTGAAGCTATTTAAATGCTTGCGAAGGGGAGATAACTGCTCTTTCACTGCCAGGTGGGGATGGTAACGTTCTATCAGGAAGTTGTATCTTGTAATATCTTTCTGGCAAATGATGACCTGGTTACAGCTTTAATCTCAGGAACACCGATTCCCAGGGAGCAATGTGCAATGAGCTCCCCTGAATGGTTTACCTGAGGGGAAGAGGGACACATGCGTGTGTACCTGCATCCTGGAGGATAAGGGACAATCTGAAAACCTAATTACTGTGGCACTCTGTTCTTTTTCTCTTCTGACCCTACCAGTTCCCTGGAGTTTTTCCTTTTCATGAACTAATGAACTATTTTATTCAAGAGCTGCTTGAAAGGGTTGAGCAGAGGTAATCCGTCTGAAAAAGTCTGATCCTCTCCTTGTCAAGGGAAAACTATACAATTACTAAGAAAACTTGGTTAAAAATTTGCTAAATACTGTGTACATTCCAGGAGCTATGTGTGTGTTTGAACTGTGG